CTTCTCTTCTCTCCACCCTCTTAATACTAGAAAGTCCTAGGGCTCAGTTCTTGTTTCCCTCTTCTCTCATCGCTCCATACTCATTTCCTCAAGGATATCATCCACTGTTATGGCTTTAAATATCATCTATATATCAACAAGTCCCAACTTTATATTTCTATTACAGACTTCACTCCTGAATTCTAAACAACTTCACTTGGGTATCTAAAAGACACTCTGAACTTAACAGATCCAAAATGGAACTCCTGATGTTCTCTGTAAACTATCTCAGTTGATGGCAATTTCATTCTTTCAGCAGCTCAAGCCAAAAACCTTGGAGTCATCCTTGACTCCTTTCTTTTATATTTCCTTTCCAACCTGCTGGCAAATTCTGATGTCTCTATTTGTAAAATATATCTAGAATCTAGACATTTCTCACCACCTCTACCACCAATCTGTTCAGACCCACCTCTGACAGCCATTTTTTTCCTAAATTATGCCCCTCTCCTAGATTAACCTAAAAGGTCTCCCTTTTTCCACCCTTGTCTAGCCTTAGTACCTATTCTTAACACAACCTGGATGATTCTTTTAAAATGTTAAAAAACTTTCAAAACCTTCCCATTTTACTCAGAGTAAAAGCCTGAATCCTGAAAGACCCTATATGATACATGCTTCCACTGCTCCCTACTTCCTGATCTTATTTCCCTGCTACTCTCCTCCCCTACTCAGGCACATACTTCCCTATTATTCTTGAAATATGCCAGCACATTCTTGCCTTTAGACGTTCATTCTACTTGTCTTCTTCACAATATTAACAGTCTGCTCCACTTCTGATGATCATTTTCTTCTCCTATAAACTATGTGACCTTCTAACATACTAAGTAATTTACTTGGTAATTATGTTTATTGGTTTTGACTCCCTAAGCTAGAATATAAACTCCATGTGAATGGGGGATCGTTTTGCTTTGTTCACTGATGAAACCCAGAAGCCCAAAACAGGGCCTGTGGCTACTGAATTATACTAAATGAACACCTCTAACATATCTTCTTCAGCCAATAATCATGGAAGAGTTAATCCCCCTGTGGAAAGGGCATGATTCGTATACAATAAAAAAGATTTTATAACAAAGTCAGAACACTTGGGTTTGATTCCTGGCTACAACACTCACTATATGATACTATTTGAGTCATATAACTTCTCTAGGTCCCAGTTTCCTGTCAGAGAAATGGGGATAATACCACCTCTACCTCACAGGGCTTTTGTAAGACTGAATGATTATATCTGTGGGGAAAAAAATGCTCTGTGAATGTTTATTATTTATCATTAATACTCTTTGAATTTATTTGTTTGTTTATTTATGGCTGCGTTGGGTCTTTGTTGTTGTGCGCAGGCTTTCTCTGGTTGTGGCGAGCAGGGGCTACTCTTCATTGCGGTGCGCAGGCTTCTCACTGCGATGGCTACTCCAGTTGCGGAGCATGGGCTCTAGGTGCATGGGCTTCAGTATTTGTGGTTCGCGGGATCCAGAGTACAGGCTCAGTAGTTGTGGCACACAGGCTTAGTTCCTCTGCGGCATATGGGATCTTCCCAGACCAGGGCTCAAACCTGTGCCCCCTGCATTGGCAGGCAGATTCTTAACCACTGCACCACCAAGGAAGTCCCTAAATATGTTTTTAAAATAACCCGTTCTTAGGCTTTCGGGGACTTGATAAAAATTTTAAGAATATTTTGAGTGGGTCAAAGTAAAGATTAAACTCAAGCAAAATTTACTCAGCACTCACTAGTTGCCAGGTCCCATGTAAGAAATATACAAATACAATAAGGCAAAATTAGGCTTCCGTTCCCTGGCGGTCCAGTGGTTAGGACATCATGATTCCAATGCAGGGGGCGTGGGCTCGATCCCTAGTCGGGGAACTAAGATCCCACATTCCACAGGGCAACTAAGCCTGTGAGCTCTAGAGCCTGCGTGCCACAACTGGAGAGCCTGAGAGCCACAACTACTGAGCCCACACCACAACTAGAGAGCCCCATGTGCCACAACTACAGAGCCTGCGTGCCACAACTTGAGGAGCCTGTATGCCGCAAGGAACAGCCTGCACTCCGCAATAAAAGATAGCGCAGGCCACAATGAAGATTGTGCAACTAAGACCCAATGCAGCCAAATAAATAAAATAAATATCAAAAAAATCATGTATGTACTGATACATATTAAGTTTTATATAATCAAAATTACTTAAGTATTTTAAATCCCTAAGAACAAAAAAATACCATTTGTAAAGACAAACTATAGAAACCTAAGTATCAACTGGCAACCAGTTAAATAAATAACATACTCATACCACAGAATACTATGCAGCTATCAAAACAACTTACTAATGACTGAAATGGAATGATTCCAAGAACATTTTTTTTAAGTTACAGAATATATATAATGTGATGGTATTTTTTCAAACAAAAACAAAGTATATATTCTTATAGGTAAATATACTTATAAACAAAAGCAGAAAAAGTATACATCCCTAACTGTTTATAGTGGTTACCTTTGTGGAGAAGGGGAGAGGGTCTGTGTACTAAAGGAGGTGGTCATGGGGAACTTTGGTTTTGTATGTATTGCTTTAGTTTTTAAAAAGAAAATGTGTAGCCTACTTGTACACTTTGAAAAACAGGCAAGACAGAGTAGATTGAGAATCTACACTTCAAGTCCCATCTTCTCCCCCGAGCTCCAGACTCTTAGGTCTAACCATTATTTATAACTGCCTGCATGGTTAAAATGACTAAACTGAGGAGACTTCCCTGGTGGCGCAGTGGTTAAGAATCCACCTGCCAACGCACAGGACACGGGTTCGGGCCCTGGTCCAGGAAGATCCCACATGCCATGAAGCAACTAAGCCCCTGCGCCACAACTACTGAGCCTGCGTGCCACAACTACTGAAGCTCACACACCTAGAACCCACTCACAGCAACCAAGAGTAGCCCCTGCTCGATGCAACCAGAGAAAGCCTGCACGTAGCAACAAAGACCCACCACAGCCAAAAAAAAAAAGACTAAATTGAAACTCTCCCTGGCCTCAATAGCACCACCATCCATCCAGTTTCACAAGCCAAAGCTGTGGGCATTATCTTTCCCTCATTACCAAGTTCTAAAGATACTACCTGCAAAATATACCCTGCTATATACCTTAAAATATATGATTATTTTTCTCCTCTTCTTAACCATCTTAGTCCAAGCCACAAACACCCATCCCTTCCCTGTCAACAAATTACTACAAGTCACTAAATTGGTCTCTCTGCTTCTGCACCTGCTCCCTCTCCCTCCCACCACCCATTCTCCACACAGCAACTAGGGTACTCTTTTAAACACGAAAGTTAGATCATGCTCTACTCTGCTTAAACATTCAGTAATTGCCTATCTCACCTAAAATTGAATCCAAATTCCTCACCCTGGCTTACAGAAGTCCCACTACATTCCATCCATGACCTACTTTCTTGACTTCTCCTCATATCATTCTCTCCCTTACCCACTGCAAATATGGATTTCTTTATATTTCTTAAACACACTAAGGTCATTCCAGACTTACAGGCTTTACACTAACTGTTCCCTCTGCTCGGAATGTTTTCCCCTCTTACCTTTAAATAGCTAACATCTTATATTCAGGTCTCAAGTTAATACTCAAATACTCAGAGAGGTCTTCCCTGACTACTCAATCTAATGTAGCCATCCTATTACTTTCTATCACACCGCTGAAATTTTTCTGATTAAATTTTTTACTGACTATAAGGTCCACAAAGGTAGGCAACCTTGTCTGCTTTGCTAATCAGTGTCTAGAACATTCCACAGTTGTTTTTTTTTTTTAATTAACTAATGTCCACAATTTATATTTAGGTCCACTCTTTGTGAACCTTATACAGTCCTATGGATTTGTTATTGTTGTTTTGTTTTTTGGGGGGGTTTTTTTGCGGTACGCGGGCCTCTCACTGTTGTGGCCTCTCCCGTTGCAGAGCACAGGCTCCAGACGCGCAGACTCAGCGGCCATGGCTCACGGGCCCAGCCGCTCCGCGGCATGTGGGATCTTCCCGGACCGGGGCACGAACCCGTTGGTTACTTCTCATCTCCCTTAGCAATGTTTTTTTTTTTGGTAGCCTTGACACACCTGAAGGAGATGATCCACTCCCATTAATTCTCATGGGTCCCTGCTCTGCAGCAGTGGCTTTTAGGGACATCAAGGGAAGTCTTGGCATTTCCCTCCTTCACATCATTTGCTCTGTCATGTTCATTCCTGAAAGATCCTTTTCTACCTTTCTACTTTTTTTCTGGCCATGCCAGGCAGCATGTGGGATCTTAGTTCTCCAACCAGGGATCGAACCCATGCCCCCTGCATTGGGAGCGCAGTCTGACCCAATGGACCTCCAGGGAACTCCCTACCTTTCTACTTTTTTTTTTTTTTTAATAAATTTATTTATTTATTTACTTATTTTTGGCTGTGTTGGGTGTTCATTGCTGCACGTGGGCTTACTCTAGTTGCGGCAAGTGGGGACGACTCTTTCCTCCAGTGCACAGGCTTCTCACTGCAGTGGCTTCTCTTGTTGTGGAGCACGGGCTCTAGGCGCATGGAATTCAGTAGTTGTGGCACACAGGCTCAATAGTTGTGGCTCGCGGGCTCTAGAGCACAGGCTCAGTAGCTGTGGCAAACGGGCTTAGCTGCTCTGCAGCATGTGGGATCTTCCCAGACTAGGGATCAAACCCATGTCCCCTGCATTCGCAGGCAGATTCTTAACCACTGTGCCACCAGGGAAGTCCTCTACTTTTAAATAGTAGCAATGCTTCAAGCACTACCTCCTTTCACAGTAACTCTAGTCAAATATTGATCTCTCTTTCCTGACCAAAGTCATTTTCTCTTCACACCATTACCATATACCATGGCATTTATACTTAACACTTGCATATTTATGCCTTCCTTGAATTTTGGAAGATGTTGAAGAGCTTAGCAAAAAAAAAAAAAAAAAAAAAAAAAAAACTATGCTAATCCATTAACACAGACTAAAAAATACAATGTCAATTAAGGAGATTTGTGCAAAAAAACTTAGTTCTGAGGTTTCTAGCACCAAAAGCAAAGAAGTAAACAATGAATTATGAAGGACACTTGATTCTAGTCAACTTGGCACTTTATTGTTCATTATCTGATGTTCTCCATTTGTCCCATATCTAATGATATTTTTGCTAAATATGCAAATAGCTTTTATCCATAATTCATGGTGTTTGTTTTTGTTAAAATGTTTTTGCCCTATACTTGTACATTCTCAGGATTTTTAGACCCAAGATTAAAAAGCTTATAAATGGCTAAGAATTATGTCTTCTTGAGGACATAATGCATTTAGGCATTAAATGTTTTTCTTACTATGACAGTAATGATAGCAAATAAGATAGTTTATGCAAAGAAAAGTCTAAAGGAATATAAACCTATTTATCTGGGGATTGAGATGATAAATAATAAGATAAGGACTCCTCACTTTACTATTTTACTCAGTTTTTAAAAATAAAAAGCATGTATATTACTTATGTAACCTGAAAAGTTGAAACAATCTATCAGAAATTCTTTAAATCAAAGGTTTTAACAATAAGCTGCCCCAAAAAAGAAGTCTTAAGAAGCCTGGCCCAATGTAAATCAGCTACTCAGAGTAGCTTGAGAATGGGGAGGGGAGAAACAATTAGAATCTGAGAAATATTAATATCTTTCACTGAGAATCAGACATTGCTAAGGGAAGAGACTGGAGTTAGTGAAAGAATTCCCAAGAATAAATTCTAACATGCTTTCAACTTAAAGTGTTATTTCTTTATAACTCAATCACTTTTAGGTTTTGAGGAGGACAATAATTAGACAGTATATGACCTCATATTCATAACCTAGAAGTGGATATAAGCCAGGTATAGTAAAAACTAAAATAATCAATAAATGCCATTAAATTAAAGGGAGAGAGTCTAGGGTTCCATTGTGTGATAGACACATGCATGTCTGAAGAAAACCCAGTGCCTCACTTTGGCTAGTGCAAGTAGCTTCTATTGATATATAAAGACCTACAAAGAGATCATATGGAGCCTGTAAAACGTCTTAGCCCAGTTTTAAAGAAATTCAATACCATAGCCAAGGAGAAGCACTGAAGGTTTCTGAGCAGGAATGAACAAATCAGTAGGCATTTTAAGAACATTAATCTGAAAGTGATACACTTGATTAGTATGGTTAGAGGAAGAAACAAAGAGATATTAGGAAAGTAACAACAGCAACCAAAATATTTAATAGGCATTTCTCCAAAAAACATATACAAATGGCCAATAAGCACATGAAAAGATGCTCATCATCATTTAACCATCAGAGAAATGCAACTCAAACCCATAATGAGATAGCTCACATCCATTAGGATGTCTCTAATCAAAAAGATAAGCATTGCAAGGACGCTTACAAAATTGTAACCCTCATACATGACTGGTGGGAATATAAAGTGGTGTGGTTGCTTTGAAAAATAATTTGGAATTCCTCACAAAGCTAAACATGGATATTACGTGACCCAGTGATTCTACTCCAGAAAGTAGAAGGTATATACTCAAGAAAACTGAAAACATACATCTTCACAAAAACTTACATACAGACGTTCATAGCATTATTCATAATAGCCAAAAAGTGGAACCAACCCAAACATCCATCAGCTGATAAATGGATAAAGTATGTCCACACATGGAATAGTATTTGGCAATAAAAAGAAATTAGATACTAATACATGCTACAACATGGCTGAACCTTGAAAACATTATTATGATAAGTGAAAAAAGTCAGAGACAAAGGCCACACATTTTATGACTCTATTTATATGAGAGATCCAAAATAGGCAAAGCTATAGAGACAAAAATAGTTAGCTAGGGCTGAAGGTGGTTGGGGAATATGGGGCAGGGGTTTCTTTCTGCAGTGGTGAAAATGTTCTAAAATTGACTGGTGTTGGTTGCACAACTCTGAGAATGTACTAACAATCATTGACTTCTAAATGGGTAAACTGTATGGTATGTGAATTATCTCAACAAAGCTAATAAAATCCAAATGAAAACAAAAAACAATAGCAATTGCCGAAGCATGTTTAATGGAAAAAACAAACAAACCCAAATCCTATACTATACCCAAGAATATCCTGAAATCAAAATGTAATTTTTACATATCTAAACATTATGTTCATTCATTCATTCAGAACCTGATACGTCACAGCCACTAAAGATTTTAAGATTTGTTTCTTTTTATCTTGGGAGTGGGGGGGAAGTAAAGCAGTAGATCTTTTTAAGACTTACCAGTTATCTGAAGTTGTGATTTCATGGTCAGGCTACCCATTGAACCAAGCTGTGATCCACTGTCAGACATAACACCAACAGGACGGCAAACCTGAACAGGGCCAAGGAAACACTATAAACATCAAAAATTCCCACTTGAAAAATATGTAAATAGTGCTAGCCAGGCCATTTCCATGTCCCACTGAAGGCCACACAATAACCAGTGGTCTTCACATTGCTAAATATAATTTTCAATTCTAGTATCCATCCTGCATTAACCTATCAGCAAAATCTGACATGATCATTCCTTCTTCCATGGTTTTTCTTCCTTTTAGTTCCCAAGACACATTCTCTAGGTTTATGTCCTACATTACTGATTGTTCCTTCTTAGACTCCTTTGATGATTCCTTCTCTTCTCTCCACCCTCTTAATACTAGAAAGTCCTAGGGCTCAGTTCTTGTTTCCCTCTTCTCTCATCGCTCCATACTCATTTCCTCAAGGATATCATCCACTGTTATGGCTTTAAATATCATCTATATATCAACAAGTCCCAACTTTATATTTCTATTACAGACTTCACTCCTGAATTCTAAACAACTTCACTTGGGTATCTAAAAGACACTCTGAACTTAACAGATCCAAAATGGAACTCCTGATGTTCTCTGTAAACTATCTCAGTTGATGGCAATTTCATTCTTTCAGCAGCTCAAGCCAAAAACCTTGGAGTCATCCTTGACTCCTTTCTTTTATATTTCCTTTCCAACCTGCTGGCAAATTCTGATGTCTCTATTTGTAAAATATATCTAGAATCTAGACATTTCTCACCACCTCTACCACCAATCTGTTCAGACCCACCTCTGACAGCCATTTTTTTCCTAAATTATGCCCCTCTCCTAGATTAACCTAAAAGGTCTCCCTTTTTCCACCCTTGTCTAGCCTTAGTACCTATTCTTAACACAACCTGGATGATTCTTTTAAAATGTTAAAAAACTTTCAAAACCTTCCCATTTTACTCAGAGTAAAAGCCTGAATCCTGAAAGACCCTATATGATACATGCTTCCACTGCTCCCTACTTCCTGATCTTATTTCCCTGCTACTCTCCTCCCCTACTCAGGCACATACTTCCCTATTATTCTTGAAATATGCCAGCACATTCTTGCCTTTAGACGTTCATTCTACTTGTCTTCTTCACAATATTAACAGTCTGCTCCACTTCTGATGATCATTTTCTTCTCCTATAAACTATGTGACCTTCTAACATACTAAGTAATTTACTTGGTAATTATGTTTATTGGTTTTGACTCCCTAAGCTAGAATATAAACTCCATGTGAATGGGGGATCGTTTTGCTTTGTTCACTGATGAAACCCAGAAGCCCAAAACAGGGCCTGTGGCTACTGAATTATACTAAATGAACACCTCTAACATATCTTCTTCAGCCAATAATCATGGAAGAGTTAATCCCCCTGTGGAAAGGGCATGATTCGTATACAATAAAAAAGATTTTATAACAAAGTCAGAACACTTGGGTTTGATTCCTGGCTACAACACTCACTATATGATACTATTTGAGTCATATAACTTCTCTAGGTCCCAGTTTCCTGTCAGAGAAATGGGGATAATACCACCTCTACCTCACAGGGCTTTTGTAAGACTGAATGATTATATCTGTGGGGAAAAAAATGCTCTGTGAATGTTTATTATTTATCATTAATACTCTTTGAATTTATTTGTTTGTTTATTTATGGCTGCGTTGGGTCTTTGTTGTTGTGCGCAGGCTTTCTCTGGTTGTGGCGAGCAGGGGCTACTCTTCATTGCGGTGCGCAGGCTTCTCACTGCGATGGCTACTCCAGTTGCGGAGCATGGGCTCTAGGTGCATGGGCTTCAGTATTTGTGGTTCGCGGGATCCAGAGTACAGGCTCAGTAGTTGTGGCACACAGGCTTAGTTCCTCTGCGGCATATGGGATCTTCCCAGACCAGGGCTCAAACCTGTGCCCCCTGCATTGGCAGGCAGATTCTTAACCACTGCACCACCAAGGAAGTCCCTAAATATGTTTTTAAAATAACCTGTTCTTAGGCTTTCGGGGACTTGATAAAAATTTTAAGAATATTTTGAGTGGGTCAAAGTAAAGATTAAACTCAAGCAAAATTTACTCAGCACTCACTAGTTGCCAGGTCCCATGTAAGAAATATACAAATACAATAAGGCAAAATTAGGCTTCCGTTCCCTGGCGGTCCAGTGGTTAGGACATCATGATTCCAATGCAGGGGGCGTGGGCTCGATCCCTAGTCGGGGAACTAAGATCCCACATTCCACAGGGCAACTAAGCCTGTGAGCTCTAGAGCCTGCGTGCCACAACTGGAGAGCCTGAGAGCCACAACTACTGAGCCCACACCACAACTAGAGAGCCCCATGTGCCACAACTACAGAGCCTGCGTGCCACAACTTGAGGAGCCTGTATGCCGCAAGGAACAGCCTGCACTCCGCAATAAAAGATAGCGCAGGCCACAATGAAGATTGTGCAACTAAGACCCAATGCAGCCAAATAAATAAAATAAATATCAAAAAAATCATGTATGTACTGATACATATTAAGTTTTATATAATCAAAATTACTTAAGTATTTTAAATCCCTAAGAACAAAAAAATACCATTTGTAAAGACAAACTATAGAAACCTAAGTATCAACTGGCAACCAGTTAAATAAATAACATACTCATACCACAGAATACTATGCAGCTATCAAAACAACTTACTAATGACTGAAATGGAATGATTCCAAGAACATTTTTTTTAAGTTACAGAATATATATAATGTGATGGTATTTTTTCAAACAAAAACAAAGTATATATTCTTATAGGTAAATATACTTATAAACAAAAGCAGAAAAAGTATACATCCCTAACTGTTTATAGTGGTTACCTTTGTGGAGAAGGGGAGAGGGTCTGTGTACTAAAGGAGGTGGTCATGGGGAACTTTGGTTTTGTATGTATTGCTTTAGTTTTTAAAAAGAAAATGTGTAGCCTACTTGTACACTTTGAAAAACAGGCAAGACAGAGTAGATTGAGAATCTACACTTCAAGTCCCATCTTCTCCCCCGAGCTCCAGACTCTTAGGTCTAACCATTATTTATAACTGCCTGCATGGTTAAAATGACTAAACTGAGGAGACTTCCCTGGTGGCGCAGTGGTTAAGAATCCACCTGCCAACGCACAGGACACGGGTTCGGGCCCTGGTCCAGGAAGATCCCACATGCCATGAAGCAACTAAGCCCCTGCGCCACAACTACTGAGCCTGCGTGCCACAACTACTGAAGCTCACACACCTAGAACCCACTCACAGCAACCAAGAGTAGCCCCTGCTCGATGCAACCAGAGAAAGCCTGCACGTAGCAACAAAGACCCACCACAGCCAAAAAAAAAAAGACTAAATTGAAACTCTCCCTGGCCTCAATAGCACCACCATCCATCCAGTTTCACAAGCCAAAGCTGTGGGCATTATCTTTCCCTCATTACCAAGTTCTAAAGATACTACCTGCAAAATATACCCTGCTATATACCTTAAAATATATGATTATTTTTCTCCTCTTCTTAACCATCTTAGTCCAAGCCACAAACACCCATCCCTTCCCTGTCAACAAATTACTACAAGTCACTAAATTGGTCTCTCTGCTTCTGCACCTGCTCCCTCTCCCTCCCACCACCCATTCTCCACACAGCAACTAGGGTACTCTTTTAAACACGAAAGTTAGATCATGCTCTACTCTGCTTAAACATTCAGTAATTGCCTATCTCACCTAAAATTGAATCCAAATTCCTCACCCTGGCTTACAGAAGTCCCACTACATTCCATCCATGACCTACTTTCTTGACTTCTCCTCATATCATTCTCTCCCTTACCCACTGCAAATATGGATTTCTTTATATTTCTTAAACACACTAAGGTCATTCCAGACTTACAGGCTTTACACTAACTGTTCCCTCTGCTCGGAATGTTTTCCCCTCTTACCTTTAAATAGCTAACATCTTATATTCAGGTCTCAAGTTAATACTCAAATACTCAGAGAGGTCTTCCCTGACTACTCAATCTAATGTAGCCATCCTATTACTTTCTATCACACCGCTGAAATTTTTCTGATTAAATTTTTTACTGACTATAAGGTCCACAAAGGTAGGCAACCTTGTCTGCTTTGCTAATCAGTGTCTAGAACATTCCACAGTTGTTTTTTTTTTTTAATTAACTAATGTCCACAATTTATATTTAGGTCCACTCTTTGTGAACCTTATACAGTCCTATGGATTTGTTATTGTTGTTTTGTTTTTTGGGGGGGTTTTTTTGCGGTACGCGGGCCTCTCACTGTTGTGGCCTCTCCCGTTGCAGAGCACAGGCTCCAGACGCGCAGACTCAGCGGCCATGGCTCACGGGCCCAGCCGCTCCGCGGCATGTGGGATCTTCCCGGACCGGGGCACGAACCCGTGTCCCCTGCATCGGCAGGCGGACTCTCAACCACTGCGCCACCAGGGAAGCCCCCTGTCCTATGGATTTTGACAAACACATAACTGCCATGTATCCACTATTATAGTATCACACAGAATAATCTCACAACCCTAAAACTCCCCTGTGCTTCACCTACTCATCCCTCTTCCCTCACTAAGAACCTCTGGCAACCACTTATCTATTTACTGTTTCTGTAATTTTGCCTCTTCCAGAATGTCAGATAGGTAGAAGCACACAATTTAGAGCCTCAGCCTGGCTTTTTTCACTCAGCAGTATGATTAAAGTTTCCTCCATATCTTTTCAGAGCTTGGCAGCTTTTTTTAAAATTGCTGAGTAATATTTCATGTGTGTTTATTCCACAGTATATACATTTGCTTACTGAAGGATATATTAGTTGCTTCCAGTTTTTGGCAATTATGAATAAAGCTGCTATAAGTATTCATGTTCAGGTTCCTTGTGGATATAAGTTTTCGACTCAATTGGGTAAACAGGACTACAATTACTGGATGATAAGGGTAAACCTATGTTTTAGCTCTGCCAAATGGTTTTCCAAAGTAGCTGTACCATTCTGCATTCCTATTAGGATTGAAGTAGAATTTCTACTGGTTTATAT